CACAGGTTGCCCAGAGAAGCTGTGGCTGCCGGGAAGTGTTCAAGGCCAGGTTGCAGAGGGCTTGGAACAATCTGGTCTAGTGGAAGGTGTCCCTATGGCATGAAGGTCCTTTCTGACCCAAATCATTCTATGATACAACTCTGTGAAACCAGTCCAAGGAAATTCAGGAAGCAGCCAGATGTGTCCCTCCCACCCCCTCAGCATTCACAGTCCTTCCAGTATTGATCTTGCCTCCCTGTCAGGGTTCATCTTCACTTTCCACACTCACTTGTTTCACCTTCTCCTCAAAGTCAGCATCGTTGTGGTCCGAAATCATCTGTGCAAGTCGAATCTGTTCCGCAGTGGCCTAAAGAAATCAGATGGATAGAGAGAGCATGGTCAGAGCAGCCCATTTCCAAACTGTCCTCCAAAGGCCATTCCACTTCCCTGAGAGCTCTGGAAAGGAATCAGTATGGTAAAGAAAAGGTGCAAACAAGGGTCAGAAAAGGACAGGTCCAGGGGGAAAGTGAGATGGAAAAGGAACAAGGGGAGTCTGAAAGAAAGGGAGGTACTGCTGGTTGGCCTTATGACACCAGGGGAGCAGCAGCCACCTGAACCACTTCTGTTTTGGGGCAAACCTTACCACCACCAGAACACCAAGACCCACTGCAAGCAGCTTCTCAGCCACTTGCATTCACTAAAGCGAGGAGGGAACAGTCAGACGGAAACAAAACCAAATCTCAGCGTCGGGTCCCACTCGGAGACACTGACACAAACACCAGCGTCAGTGGCTGCCCAATTAACCTGGCTCTGGCAGTTCTTAGGCGAGCCACCCATTAGCACCAGGCCAAGCAGGAGAGCCAGGTCTCCACCTCTAAGCTACCTGGTTTCCGTGGACACTGCCCTTACCTGCGGCCGCTGCTTGTGCTGCATCTGGCTCTGTGTCTGTGTCTGCTCCCAGTTCCCCCGGGTTCGGTTAGTGCCCACCGATGTCATCATTTACAGTATATACAAATAACAGTATTTACAAGGTAGAACTCTGTGGTGGGTCGGGGAGAAGAGAGAACAGACTGTTAGAAACCAAAACCAAAAGGCAGCACCAGGACTGAACAATCGTACGGGCAACACAGCCAGAACACCCGTCGCAGGCCCCCACCCTCCCCACCACTTCCCTAAAACCATGGCAGGCCAGGCTGCCATCACCATGTGCTCCCAGCACAAAACAGCCACTTGCACTTCTCGAGGTTTCTCTGCCAATTCCATGGCAGGTTGTTCCAAATGAAACATTTCCCGCATCCACATGGCAGCAAGAAGTAGACTCACAGAGTCAGAGTGGTTTGGGTTGAAAGACACCTTAAAGCTCATCCAGTCCCACCTCCTGCCATGGGCAGGGACGTGTTCCACTAGCCCAGATTGCTCCAAGTCCCGTCCAGCCTGGCCTTGGACACTTTCAGGGATGGGGCAGCCACAGCTTCTCTAGGCAACCTGTGCCAGGGTCTCACCACCCTCATTGAAAAAAAACCTCTTCCTTCGCTAATCTAGATCAACCCTCCTTCAGTTTGAAGCCATTTCCCGGACTTGGGGGAAAGGGTTTAATGACTTGCTGTTGAAACACATGTGTGAGCAAGCACGGATTTGCCATGAGCTCATGGTGAGTCTGTGGCCATCAAATGGAGCAGGAATGCTTGAAGAAAGCACCAAAGAAACTTCACTTGGAGAACAGAGCACCTCAGAGCCTCAGACACTTCAACTACTTCTCCTTTCTTGCCTTCAAAGCAGAGCAGGGGAAGCAAAAACACTCCAGGAATAAGTGGTGCTACTTATGCCTATGGAATTTTTTTTTTTAAAAGAAAACCTGCCCTTGCAGAACTGCCTATTTTTGCATGCTTCAGTTATTCCCCCAAACTGGAAATACTAAATTTTCTAGATTAAAAACATACCAAAAAGTAAACTAGATGTCAGCAAGGAACAGCCAGTAACATCATCAGATAACTGCTTGAGGCAAAAAATCCCAGGAAGAGTTCAGGCCAATGAGCGTCCAAAGCAAGTGGAGTTTTCTAACCTCACACTGGGCCTCAGGGCAGAGCCCAAGCTGGAGGTGAGGGGAGGTGGTTTAGAAGGGGATTGGCACTGAGTTGTTTTACCCTGCCTAGCGCCTTCCAGGCACAAGGAATGCCAGTGACATCCCACTGCACTTGGCAGGACTCACAACTTCCAAGCCCCCGAAATCTCAATAATCACAGAACTCACAGTTTTGTATTTCATTACCAAGAGCGTGAAGCCTTCCCCCAAAGCAGCAGGGCCTGCTCCAGGCGCCTGGGACAGGGGAAGGAGCCAGGGATGGAGCATGAGAGCAGGGAGGAAAGCTGAGTGGGACAATCCGACCTGTGCACATGGGTAGGGCAGCACAGGGAGAGACATGGTGTGCCAGGCAGGGAAGCTCAGCAGCAGCATTAGCAAACACCGCAGGAAACACTGGGGAATCTCCTGTGGAAGTCTGCAAGTACCCGACTGGGTGAGAAATGCTTCCTGAAAGCAGGGAGACTCCAATATTGCCCTGCACTGGATGCATACCCCCCGTGTCTGCTACAACCTGTGCCCAGCATTTCTCCATAGGCAAGTTTTTGTGCCATTGCTCCCACAGTTCCCAACAAAACCCCTGAAATCCCCCCTTTGTAGTCACCCACACCTCATGGCAACTTAATACTACAGTTTTCCTGCTATACAGTGCCAAGGTCTCTTATCAGGAAATGATCCAAGCTACCTGTGCGGCCATCAGGAGACCCCGAGCTGTGGGGGAAGAGCACCGCGAGGTGGAAGCAGACAGCCTCCAGCCCCCAGCCATCCCCTCCGTGCAGGCTTTTTCCCCACGTTATTTATTTTTGCTCACCATCGCTATGTCTCCTCCAGCTTCAAGCTCCATGCACAATTTGTCATATTAAACCAACCTGGCAGCAGAGGGAAGTGATCCTGCATGTCCACAGGAACCCAACCTGCAGCTCCCCTGGGCCACAGTTCCAGCAGGCTGAGTTCAAAGCTTGTGCAGCACCCAGGCATTTTGTTCAGCAGCTGCCACGCTCTGCTCTGCCCAGCTGCCATCACTGCCACAAGTAACACCAGTGTTTGGGTCCTCTAACGTGCAAAAAACATCTACCATAGAAATCTCAGCCAGGCCCTGACCCTGCCAAGGCTGTCAGGTGAGGGAGTGCCCCCATGCAGACTCCACAGCTGCCTTAAGGAAAGAGAAATTTGGCTAGTGATAACTTATTCCTCAGTGGGGGAACTTGAGCTTAGGGGCAGCACTGAATCATGGAACATGGTTATTCTGACGCCTGCACAGAGTTTTCCAGTTTGGAGCTGTCCTCACCAAAAGCCAGTCCACACCACAGCACTGGCATTAAAGGGGGCAGCTACAGGTCAATGGGCCAGTGTTGCCCTCGGACAGGGCTTAGGGAAAACCAAACTACAGGCTACAACACCCTCTGCTCAAAGACACTGCATCAAACGTGACGTGCTTGGTTGTTACCCCTTTTCCTTCTCAGACCACACCACTGCCCGCCTGCCAGGCCTAGGGAGGAGAGCCTCAGCTACACAGGTGAAGTGTGGAGTCTCCAGAAGAAGAGGGGATACAAAAATGTAACAAACTTCATTTTATTAGAAACATCAGGTAAGTTACAGATTCAGAACCAGGATCTGCGGGTCCCATGGCTGTGCCAGATCTGCTGGCTGCCACTGGGCGAGTCCTGGCACATCCCAGCCTCAGTTTCCCTTATCTGTTAAATACAGAAAAATTGGTATTTCCAGCCCATTCCAACAACACTTAATTAACAACTGCAGAAGGCTCCGAAGCCCCAGAGAAAAGGGCCAGAGAGGGCAAACAGCATTTGGAAAGATTTTCCCACACTGTGAGGTAGAACAAGCACCCAAAAGAAGGTTATCGGTGTGAGAGTTGTTTTCCCCGGAGCAAAAACATGGCAGCTGCAGACCGAGTCAACCCCCGCACGTGCAGTGCACGAACTTTTGGGGAGATACCCACGGATATGCCACCAGAGACCCCGTGGTGGTACCGATGGGCAGCGCTTTACCGGGGAGACTCTCCGGTCGGAGGGCGCAGGCAGAGCCCCCCGACGGGAATGGAGGGACCTGGAGGGCGGGCCGCGCTCGCGGGACGGGGCTCCTCTAGGACCCCCGGACCGGCGTCGCCCGCGATTTCCCCGATGGCGCGGGGCCCACCCGGCCACGGCCCCCGGGGGGCGCCGCCGAGGACGGGTGCCGGCAGCGGGCCCGGCGGCCGTGAGGAGCCACGGCGGGGCGGGAGCCTCTCGGCTCCACTTGTTACCGTCGGCACCGGCGGGGGCCGGCGGCGCGGCTGTAGAGCGCGGCAGGGCCCGGGAGCCGCCGCGGACCCCGCGACATACAATGGGGCCGAACGGCCGGAGCGAACCGGAGGGCCCGGCGGGCCGGGCGGGACCCCCGCGGCCGGCGCCAGGCCGGGCCCGCACCAGGGCAGGCGGGCGAGGTTCGCGGCCGGCTTCCGCCCTCATTGCGCCCGCCGGCCGCCATTTGCACCCCCCCCCCTGCCGCCCGCCTGGCCAGCACCCGCGCCCGCCTGCACCCGGCCCGCCCGCCCGCCCTCACCGCGGCGGCCGCGCGCGCTACGCAGCCCCGGCCGCGCGCCGACCCACTAGGCCGCCGCGGGCCCAGCGGCGGCGCCGGGGCGCGAGCCGCCTCCGGCGCGCGGCGGGGCCGCGGCGGGCCGTGGGGCGGCGGTGGCGCGGAAGGGCCGGGCGGGCCGTAGATGGCAGCGGCGGGGTCCCGGCGGGGAGGGGGCGGTTCGGGGGCCGCCGGGTACCGGAGCCGCCGCCGCGCCGCCGCACTTTGACCTGGGTCCGCCCGCACTGACAACTCCCCCGGCGCCGCCCCCGGCCACGTGGACGCGCGGGGAGGGGCCGCGCGCCGCTTGCGCTGGCGCCGCGCGGGGACCACGTGACCGCGCTCCCCCTCTCCTCCTCCTCGGTCACGTGGCCGCGGGGCCCGGCAGGGCGGGTTCGCGGCCGCCATGTTGTGCGGCCCCGGCCAGCCGGGCCATAGGCGGGGGCCGGCAGGCAACTGCTCTCGCGGGTTCAACGTGGTGCTGGTCATGGCCTACGGCAGCCTGGTGAGGGCCGGCGGGGTGCGGGCGGGCCGACGCGGGGCTGGCGTGCCCGTGCGGGGCGTTCCGGGCGTGTCCGCGGAGCCGGGCCGCTCATGTCCGTGCGGCCCCGGTGAGGCCGCTCCTGGCGTGTCCACGAGACTCCCATGGAGTCCGTAACGCGCCCGTCAGGCAGGTCTTGGGCTGCTCGTGGGGAACCCCTCGGAGCCTGGCTCGGGGCCCTCAGGGGCCTGGGCTGGACCGCCCGTAAGCTCCTGGCGTCGGTGGGGCGGGGGGAGGACGTGGGTGGGAGCCTCTGTGGAGGCTGGGGGTCTGTGGGGCCGGGCCGGGTGTCCGCGAGGCTCCCGGGGGACTGAAGCGAGACCCTGTGCCCGCTGGGGTTGGAGGGCTGAGAAGGGGGAGTCGGTGGGCTGGGTTATCTGTGACACCCCCCCGGCTCATGCTTGACTCCCCGCCCCGCTGTGGCTCCTTAGGTGTTCGTGCTGCTGTTCATCTTCGTGAAGCGCCAGATCATGCGCTTCGCCATGAAATCCCGCCGCGGCCCCCACGTGCCTGTGGGACAGCATGCGCCCAAGGTGGGTGCACTCCATCCCCTGTGCTCTGAGGGACGGGCAGGGGCTGCTCCAGCCGCAGAGCTGCCACCGTGGAGTAGCAGTGGGGCAGCGGGGAGGGAGCGGTTTGTGTAAGGCCTGTTCTTATCCTTGTGATCCCACAATCTAAGTGAACGTGTCGGGTTTTTTCCTGCTGTGCAGGATTTAAAGGAGGAGATCGACATTCGACTATCAAGGGTGCAGGACATCAAGTACGAACCACGGCTGCTGGCTGAGGATGATGGCCGGCTCCTGCAGTTGGAGACACCAGGTACTGTCCCACAGTTGTTGTTCCCCTGGGGCCAAGTTGCGTCTTTGGCTGCTCACGTTGCTGTCCTGTCACACGAGATGGTGTCTTTGCTCCTGTTTTCCCTTTCTCCGCCTCCCTCCAAGGTTTGCAGAGCTCTCAGTTTGTTCTTTCCCGTTTCCCAGGCTGCTATAACTACCTGTACAGGATGAAGGCACTGGATGCAATCAGGACATCAGGTAAGGGAGCTCAGAGCAGGAGAGTGCAGAGAGACCTTGAGTGAGGGAGATGAGGGTGTCAGCAGCCCTGTGGGGAGGTCTCCAGGTCCTCGCTGGAGAGCAGCAGTCATTTCTCCCGCCCAGGGCTGTTGGCCTGAGGGTCAGCCTGCCCCATGCTCTGGGGTCATCTGGCAAACAGGGGCAGCAGGTGTGGAAGGAAGTTTGTCCAGCCAGCAGCTCCTGACTGTGGGGGTGAGCACAAGCATTTCCACCTGTGCTTCAGCCAGTTGTGTTGTGCCTTTTTACAGAAATCCCATTTCAAGCAGAGAGCCGGTACCCAAAATCTTTAATAGGGAAGAATTTCTGTGCCTACCTGCTGGAACTACGGAATTCCAGCGCCTCCTTCAAAGGCATCCGCAAAGCCTTGATCGACACCTTGCTGGATGGGTACGAGAGTGCCCGCTATGGCACTGGGGTGAGTGCTGGTGTGGATTGCCGGCCCTGTGAGGTGTTCCTGTGCTACGCCCTGGCTGCATCCCTTGTTCCTGTGGCCTGGCTTCATCCTTCTCTTCCTGTGCTCCAGCCTGGCTGCATCCCCATAGCAGTGTGGGGCTGTTCCTGTGCTCCAGCCTGGCTGCCGGGGCTGAGGTCATACTGTAACCTCAGCTGGGTTTTCCGTGATCTTCTCTGTTTGTATCCAGGTCTTTGGGAAAGCAGAATATCTGAAGTACCAGGAAGCTCTGAACGAGCTGGCGAACATGTAAGTGCTGCTGCCTGGGCACGGTGGTGGGTTCCTGGTCCATAGCAGCCCATGGGGGAGGTGTGAACAGAGACAGGTTTTGGGGCACATCCAGCGTCCGAGACGGGGGCTGTTTGTGCCTGTCCGTGCCTCTGAGTTCACTCCCTCCTTGCAACCTGCCTGTTAATGGAGTTTTGGGTTTGTTCCATGGTCACAGTCCGCATTCCTGCTTGTCCCTGGCACTTTGAGCCAGGGCTTTGTGCATGACCACTGGCCTTAGATTTCAAGACCTCAGTGAGCGCCATCACCCCGAGGGCAGAGTTGCCTCATGTCGGACAGACGGACGCGCAGCTGAGTGGCTCCTCTGGGGCGGCGGCAGCGGTGACGGTGCCTCTTCTCTGCCCACAGCACCAAGGCCCGGGGGGGCAGCAGCCAGCGGCAGCACCAGTCAGCAGCAAAGGACCTCACCCTGTCCCCTGAAGTCTCCAACCCCACCACCATCCAGGTCACCTACCTGCCTTCCAACCAGAAGAGCAAACGTGCCAAACACTTCCTGGAGCTGAAGAGCTTCAAGGACAACTACAACACACTGGAGAGCACCCTGTGAGCACGTGGGGCCTGGTGCAGTGCGTGTGCAGGCAGCACTGGGAGGAAGCAGCTGCGCTCTCAGATCTCCCCTTCACACCACATCTCCGTTCCGACTGCTGGAACTCGGCCCTTGCCAGAAGCCCATTCTAGAGCAGTGTACCTGCCTGCTGAGCCCAAGGGGATTGGCTCCACAGCCTCCTCTGCCACAGGCTTGTGACACTCCAGGCTTTGAGTCCTGCATCGTCTTGGACCCTGTGAATAAACTGATTAGCTTGATCTTATTTATAAAGACACGGATCCCAGCCAGCACCCCCCTCTGCCCGTCCTTCGCCGCAGCAGCTGGCGGGAACTGATGTCTGTCCGTTCTGTCCGTGTGGGTCTTGGGCTCTGGAGCCACCTGTCTGTCCTTTCTCAAGGGTGAACACTTTTCCCCGTGTCCCTGTTGTTCCTGCTGTCAGCCCTGTGTGCCCAGCCTGCCTGTGTGCCCAGCTGGGGTGTAAATAGTTTGGTGCCCGTTCTCAGCACCGCAGCCAAGCTGCTGCTTCAGGCTGCAGTTTCTACTCATTCTACTGCAACTGGGCATTTGGGGATGTCTTGAGAGGACAAACCAGCATCAAGTGTCCCGTCTGTCCTGCCAAGGGGGTGTTTGCTCCCACTCTCACCAGCGCCTCGCGTGCCAGCAGCTGCTGAGCCCCCAGGGCCGAGAGCTTGCAGCCCCCACCTTGAGTCTGCGTCTGCCAGGCCGAGGGCAGCGCTGGCAGCTCACCCGTCACCACGGCACGGGCAGCACAGGGTGGAGGGCACAGACCTCGCATAGGCCTCGGCACTTTTTAATTATGTTTAATAAAATGACAGTTTAGCCTGAGCAGAGTGCGTGCCACCAGCCTCTGACTGCAGGGGCCCGTTGCTGCTGGATCCGGGGCTGTGTCCCTCCAAGGTGCTGCTACGAAGGTAACCAGGATGCTGTTTATGGTGGCCAGGTTGCTGCCATTACAGCTGTGGTAGTTGGGATGCCATTACAGTAACCAGCATGCAGTTATGGTAACCAGGATGACACCATTCCAGTAACTGGAATGCTGTAACAGGCTGCCGTTACTGCCATGGTAACCAGGCTGCCCTTACTGCCAGGGTATCCAATGGGTGTGGCCCGTGTAGAGGGCAGTTGCAGGGTCCCTGTGGCACCAGCTATGGCAGTGCCAAACAGCCAGAGCTGCTCCCTGCAGGGGGAGAAGGTTGGACAGGGCAGGGGCTGGGAAGGTGGGAGCTGTCCTCGGGCTCCTGGGAACAAGTGGAGACAGTGGGGTGCCGGGTCCCTTGGTGCAGGTTAAACCCCAGACCCCACAAACATGCTCTTTGGTTGCAGGTCCAGGAGAAGGGGAGTGCTGGCACAGGGCTGCTGGAGAGGTAGAGCTGGCAAAGAGCCCTAGGGGCCAAACCCCCCATGCTGGGGGTCCGTGGGTGATGGGGGAGACATCCCCAGCCTGCCCACTCTCTGTCTCCACAGCTGTGGGCAGGGGCCCAGGGAGCACCTACGGTGCTGGGCCTCAGCCCACGGGGTGCTGCAGTGGATCATGGAGTCACGGCTGAAGCGGCGCGTGGAGTTGGAGCTGCATCTCGCGGGCAGGGAGCAGGCAGCGGTGAGGCCTGGCATTGGTTGGATGCAGCTGGGTCCTCCCAGCGCTGTGCTGCTGTGGATGGTTGGGATGGCCCCCTCGTCCTGCTCCACCATGTTCTAGGGGACAGTGTCCCCCAGCACTGGTGAGCCAGGGTGACGTGGAGGTTCAGCACAGCCCCTGTGGCCAGCAGATCCGCCAAGATGCCCTGTACCAACTCTTCCAGGATGAGCATCAGCAGCACCAGCAGGAGCTGAGCCGGCTGGGGAAAGCCTTCTATGTAGAGCGGCTCTGAGTGCTCAGCCCAGCGCAGCACTGGCCTGGCATCCCCTGGCTTCTGGCTGGGAATAAAACATGTTGAGCAAAACGGGGGCTGTGTCTGCTGCATGTGGGGCGTGGGACAGCCTGGGGCAGTGGTGGGGGGAAGATGCAGCTCATCACGATTCCTGTGGCTGGGGTTCAGACATGCTGCCCGCAACCCTCCACGGGTTCCACCCTGCACACTTGGTCCTGTCCATGGCTGTGCCAGGAGATGGCAGCACGGCCAGCATGCCTTGCCAGCCCTGCTGCTCCGCGCTGGGTCCCACTCCTAGCACAGGTCCCGCCGTGCCCTGTCGTGTGCCACGGTGCTCCTGGCCATGTGGCACAGTCCTGCAGCAGCAGGGAGAGAAGCCTAGCTGGACTGGGTGTGATGCTCCCTGTCCCCACATTCAGGTGCCCCCAGACCCCTGTCTGCTCCCAGCTGGGGGGGACCTGTCCCTGGCCTCCTGTCCCTGCTGCCTGTGCCCGACCTTGGTGTCTCCCAGCCCCAGGGCCCATCAGTGCCTGCCCTGGCTCTGCTTATTGACAGGGCTGGGGGCCGCTGGGCCGGCACCCCCCACCCACAGCCCTTCATTAGCTCAGCTGTCAGGCTGCATCACATCAGCTGCTGCCGCACGCGCGCCCCCGGCTCTGGCACCGCTGCCGCCACGTGTGTCCCTGCTGTCCCCACTGCCACCTCACCTTGCGGCCACCCCATGGGGCCAGAGCCCTTGACCCCCCAGCCCAGGCTGTGCCCCTGTCCTCCCCATGGCACTCAGGGCTCTGGCTGTCCCACATCCTGGCCCACTGATCACCCAAAGCTTGGGCCCCCACAGAGTCCCCAACACCATTCCCAAGGTTGGTGCATCCTGCTGCAGCAAAGCACCGCTGTGGTGTGGGGAGACACATGCCTCCAGCACCCCAAGACACCCCGTGTGCCCTTGTGGCTGGATGTCACCCCCCAGGTCCCAGTGGCCACCCCAGTGTGGGGCAGGGTGCTGCCTCTGTCACACAGCATGAGAGGGGTCACATCCTCAACACGGGTGGGGTGGGGTGACAGCCCCTCCAGCTGCTCCATGGAGGAGACGCTCCTGTGGGTCCCAGCAGCTCTCCCAAAGCAAGGGGATGTGGGGCACAGCCCCCCTGTGCTGATGGGGCCCGTCCTTGGGCAGGGTCGTGCACAGCCCCTAGGTGTCACAGGGCCCGCAGGCCAGGGCTGGCCCCCGGTATCGACAGCCTTGCTAATGATGGGGAGTGTGACCGGAGGCAGGAGCAGGCGGTGCGGGGCCATCGACCGCATTGACCGGCATCGCTCGGCTGCAAGGGCGCAGGGGTCCGCGGAGGGGCAGGGGGATGTCAATGGGTGGTAATTAATGGGAACGAGGCCACGTGTGCAGGGCCGGGGCGCTCGCTGGCCGCATCCCCCCATCGGGTGCAGCCCAGTGTGGTTATAAACAGCGGCCAGGCAACCCCCGAGCCAGAGCACTGCGGAGCCCCTCAAGCCAGCCCAGGTAAGACGGTGATGGATGTGGGTTTCCCCTGGACCCGAGTGGGCAGCGTGGCCTTCCATGGCATGCTGTGCCATGTCAGTCCATGGCATGGCTTGCCCTGACATGCCATGCTGGGAGACTGTGCCTGCACTGTCCTGCTTCGGCTTCATCCCAGCCGCAGGACACCTCCTGCTCTGGCAGTGCATCCCGAGCAGCCCAGTGCCGGTGCACTTGCCCGGCAGGCTCCAGGCACTGCGGCGAGGCCAGGTGCTGCCTCCGCAGGCCCCCAGGGGTTATGCCTGGATACCACATCCCCCCAAGCTCTCAGCCTTTCCTTCTCTCTTTCTCTTGCAGGCAGCTGAGCTGTGATTCCTCCTGCCTCCATCTGCCCCTGCCTCTGTCTGATATGTTTGATATTAGGTTGTTTTATTAGAAAACCAACTAAATATCAAACATATTCTTACAGCGCCAGGGATGCCCAGCGCTGACTTGGCCAGATGCTACCTGTGCCCTGCCCTGCACTGGGGGGTCCCTCTGCACCTCATCCTGCAGCCCCTGCCAGCCCTTTCACTGCCGCAATAAAACCTGTCTGCCCGTCTCCATGGTGCTTGAGAGGGGGAGGCCGGAGCTGTCCTGGGGACTGGTGGAGGTTTGGGATGGCAGCGGGGTCACCACTTGCCACCTGTCCCCTTGCTCACGCTGGGGATGATGACAATACAAAGGCCCGTGGCCCCATGCCCACTGCTGGCTCTGCTGCCCTAGCACAGGGGGTTATTTATGGAGGTGCAGCCACTGCTCGGGGCCCTTGGTGGGTGGGCATTGTTCCCCCAGGGCCCTGCCCAGGGTGCTACAAGCTGTCACCAGGTCTCTGTCCCCCAGGTCCCTAGGTGCTGACTCCCTTAGCCCCCAAAATCTGTCATTGGGTGGGAGCAGTGAGTCTCTTCCATGGGAGATCCTACACTGGCTTATGGGACCTCGAGGCTGGCACAAGGAGGCCATGAATCCCCTGGCTGTGGATGGAGTGCTGCTGCGTGCCCTGAGAATTCCTCCCTGCGCCTCAGGAATCTGCTCCTCCAGCTGCCAACAGCATCCTCTGCCTCAACACCAAGCACCAGCATGGCTGGAGCTGGGCTCAGGGCTCAGCAGGCTCCTGGGGGGTTCTGCCCCTGGTGCCGGGCTCAGTTTGTCCCACTGCTCCCTGCAAAGCCAAACACTCTGGGCCAGGGGCTGCTGCCAAACCCCTGCTCCCAAAATAGCACCAGGCTGAGCTCGCCCTTTTCCATGCCACCCCCAGGCAGGGGTAAATGTCAGCCCAGGGCCACCAAAACACTCTAAGCCCCTGGTGGAGGGCAAATGTGGCAGGGTAAGACTTCGTGCTAGTGCTGCATGGACTCAGCTCGACATCCTGAAGGAGCGCTGGGTGGGAGCACAGTGTCCTCGTGGCACCAGCCAGAGTGTCCTGTTGCATGGGGGGCAGGGGCGCAGCTGGGACAATACAGGACCCCCTGCTCCCAGACCTGCCACTGCTTTTTATAACACTCCAGCTGTCCTCAGGAGCCCAAATAAGGCCGTGGCCACCCGCACCCCCTGGGGCGGACAATGGGTCCCGAGCACAGACTTTTTGGGAAGGTGGGGAGGCGGCTCAGCCCAAGAAAGGCAAAGCCCTCGGGCTGGACAGAGCTGATAAACAGGCAGTGGGGCACAGGCAGCACAACTGCCCTGTCCACCCCTT